CGCAGGTGTGGAATGGGTATGATATTTGGAAAACTTCACATACATCAGCCTGTAGATGTCCTCAAATCCTCTCGATTTCACTCGGCCAGCTCCTGGACCCATTAGAGGTGACCGTGCATTCCAAGTGGTGGCAGCAACACTGTGGAATGCTCTTCCATCAGGTCTCAGTCAAAGCATTTAAAAATCAGCTGAAGACTTTTTTATTTAAGCAGGCCTTTGTCTCCATGTAAACTTTTAACTTTGAAATTTGGTCATCCTTCTGTTTTATAGGACAGCATTCAAGGTACACACCAGTACTACTGTATAATTAGTCAGGGTCACCTGTGTTTATGTCAAGGAGGTCTTAATTATATAAAAATTGTTTTAATTAAACTCATTGAAACTGCTTAGCTAACAAAACAGGAGAGATGTCATGTAATGGGTAATGCATCATTGCATTAAATAACCACTATAGTGCAGTCCACAAATCTTAAGTCTTCAATTTACAGCTATGGGACAGTGACAACGAGGTCTCTCTCTTTCTCATTTGAACTCAAGTCATCCTCTCTCTGCATTACTCAAGGGACATCCATTGAACTAATGATGCCACATGAGGATGAAAGTAATGTGCCTGAAGAAACGATTCACTTTTCCACAAACAGGAGGATAACTACGCTAAAACAATATCACAGGCAGCACTCAGAACTAACTCAGAAACATGAGTTATTTTTGGATGTGTTTTTTGTAGCTCTGTTGAATGATGTGCTAACAGTGATTGGCAGTCTCTCTAAATGTAACATAGAGACAAATTAAGGGCACTGTGAAATACTGAAATTATTCTATCTGGAATTAAGCTGAATTCCAGAAATTTAGCCTTGCAGCTCAAAAATGAGATATTCAGTCTATATCTGTCTGATATAAGAAATAAATAATGACCGGACCCAATGGTTACCACTCTATCGATTGGTACTGTAGAACCAAATTTCAAACATCAGTTTTTGCCATCAATTAGCCCTCTGCAGTTTTTCCTGGGGTTGCCTCAAACATCTGCCCTGTGTACCTTAAAGCAAAGCACTGAATGCCCATCAGCTCAAGAGGTGTTGTTCAGTAACTAATCCAGTTCTCTCCAACATGTGAAGGGCACAAATGGACAGAATGTTTTTGCTTTGTAGATAGGTTGCATTTTAAATGATTGCTTATTTTTTATGCGAGGTTTACAGGCATCAGCTGCTCCACTTAAAGCCATGACATATGGGAGACACTTATCATCATAGGCTTGCTTTCACAAATTGGAGGATGATGAGTAGCTTTTAGCAAGCAATTGATTTTGGATAGAACAGAAGTAGCACCAGTAACAACAATTACAGGACCGGGTTAAAGGGAAGGAATTAATTTTATAGTGGCGAGAGAGAAGGCTAAATTAACTCATGAATCACCTTCTAATGAATTGTTGTTCACTTTAGGATCCATTATATCCGCTGGTTAACCCTCTTCAAATGAACCCACAATATCTCGTTTTAGTGCACAGTTTCAATTGGAATGTGACTATTAATATGCAAAAAACTAAATGTGCACATTTTAAGAGTTTTTCAGCTCAAATTTTACAAATTATACAAATCTTGTAATTGTATCATTAACTGCTCAACAACTGTTGGGTTTTATCAAATCAGCCGATAAAGTGCGGGCTAAGTGTGTATACAATGTAATACCTTGTCATGGTCGTAATTTTAAAATGGTAGCATCGAGCAACCCTATTACACATATTTTTCATATATTTTGAAACCATACCGTGTCAGCCCACGGTATGGTTTCATCACTGTCAAAAGAACCAATCTCTAAAGCCACTTCCTGCAATATGCTGCACTGCCCATGGGATGTGAACAAATGAGAAAGTAATGAAAATGAAATGGGCTGGGCTCTAATAATGGAATCAGGCAATGGAGGCAAGCAGTGAGCATCTGTATAATGTGTAAGAAAAACAGATAAAACGCAGAGTGACAGACACATGCAGAAATGAGTCAGCCATCATGAAAATAGAATTAGAATGGAGCTCCATTCAGCTTCCAGCAAAGGAAAATGAGGATTAGCTGATTTTCACTCATGAGTCATCATGCTTCAATGGTGTTCCCAATCATTATGACATTCTTAAATTGATTTCACCTGGCTTGATGCTTGTTAAAACTCAAACCAATGACTGACTGAGTGCTGCAAATGAAATCAAGTCATTGATTAATTCCCTGATATTTGAATAACACTTGAGATGTACTGCTTGTTCCCTGGTCTAATAATGAAATCAAATCCTCATTACCATCAGTGCAGCAAACTCCTGTTATGTTCCTTTTTGAAGATTGCACTGCTGTGTTATTTCACCAATGAGGAGGAGTTTCTCAAAGCTGTATTAGTTTGCAGATGCTGACATGTGTAATGGAATTGTGTCTCTGTTATGTAGCCTGTAAAATATACCTAAGTTACCCAAGTCTGGTTTAGAAAGAATGGAAACATTTTGGTTTGACATATTGAAATTAAATGTCAAATAGACGTCAGCGCCTTTACATTAGGTGTAGAATACTCCATCAATCCCCCACTTCCTAGTTCCTTTCTCGTAAAGTTACTTGTCTTTCTTTCCATTTAGATGGGGTATTGTATGTTCTTTGAGGCTGAGATTCAGTTGATCACAGTTGATTCACAATTGAACAGGTTTGGTCTTGCTGTCTTGCCTATATCTTGCCTAAAATCTTAGGTCATGCCTAAAATCTTAGGTCATCAAACCAAACTGGTGGTCCTAGATCACACTGTGATACGGCCATCGGTGTATGTTATAAGGTACAAAGCACATAACCAAATTCTCACAATGTGAGTGCAGCCACAGCCCTTCATCATCAAACTAACTAAACAGAATAGGACAGGAAATTATGCACAATATAATTCAATTTTTTGAATAATATAATTCAATATACTGACTCATTTCTCAATAAAGTTTAGGGGAAAAAATACACACAAGCACTCACAAAGCAAACATGATAAAGGCAAAAATGAAAAACAAGTGTGTGGATCTCTGGCAACGAAGAAAACCTTGTGGAGCTGTGGCAGCAGCTGATGACATGCTCTCATATACATTTCTTTCTACTTACATTGCAGCACTACGATTCACTATCATCGCACAATATGACATGCACCAAAGTGATATCATAAAGTCTAATGCAGATTGGAACCAAGATTTGATAGTCTTAGCTAATATGCTCTTTAATGAGGACATCATTTCAGTGTAATCTATGATAAAGTTGCATTCCAACAGAGGAACTGCTGTGTGTCATTTGCAGAATTATTAATTCCCCTGTAAACTGAAGTATGATGGTGAAATAGACTGCACCATTTTACAGTTCCACAGTGAGTCTCACTCAACAGTCTGCACTCACACAGTCTCTCAGTGCACTATATGTCAAACTCAAGAAAGTTAATACCTGATGTCTCTTTTATGTTTGAATCTTGAAAAAAATTTATTCTTGTGGTTTTAATTGTCTAGCTTTTATAAACACATATCGAACATTTTATTGCTTGTGAGAAGTGAACATTTTGCCTCGCCACGGCAAACAATCCTCAGCTGTCTACTTTTCCCATCTGGCTTGTAAAATCTACAAAATAAAATTCCCAGAGTACACACACTCAATCTGTCTGTTTTCTTTGTCCTGTTATCAGGCTTAATTTCCATCCATTTAAAAAAATCACTTTCACACAGTCTATGTTAATACAGTATGTGGTGGGAAATGTTCAAACCTGGGTGTCATCATTCTTGAAAACATCAGAAAGCAGTTACTGACACAGATCAGGTCTCAAGATTTATTAAAATGTTGCGGGGCTGTTTGCAACACAGTGAAGCGGTACTGTGACTGTGTTGTGAAAGTGTTTTCTCAGAAAGAATCAAATCACAACAAACTTTATTCCATGCTTACAGGAGCTCTCTGGAGAATCTATTAGCAACCACAATCACAAGCCAGAGGGTACAAAGCCGTAAATGCAAATATATCTGCATGTTCTGCTCCCAACACCACAAGCCTGTGAATTCACTGCTGAACGTCAGCTCAGCCTTTGTGTTCCCACATTATAAATTATCCTCTAATATTATGCTGGTTGTTTTTTTCCCAGCCTGTGCAGCCATCTTTAATGTCTTTACTTTTGGTTATAATGACTTTGTCTTACGTAATGAAGTGGACTATCAAGTCCACATTTTAGCTTATAGTTTATAGGTTCTCAACATCGGTATTCACAAATGATCCAAATTACAGTCAAGTATCTTTTATGTGTTAATCAGAATTTCTGTATATTGGCATTCTAACCAAGGGACAAAGTGTATGCCATACTTGCTTGGTTAAGACATAAAGTGACACTGACATAAGCCTCCTAATAAATTAGTAAAAGACAGTTTGGGTGCATCTCACAAGTTTATTTAGTATGTAGTATTGTCCAGAAACTTGGTAATAGCAGCTTACTGCATTCAGTGTTATCAGAAAATGTGCGACTGTGCTGCAGTGTAAAATAAAATAGTAATACGTTTGAAAACCTATACTACAGATGCATATGCTCAAAGTCAGCCCCAAGGCTTTGCACAGAATTCATTTTTCTGATGTATAATTGTACAATTCAAAGTAGTTTCTTTTAAAATAATGCATACTTACACACAGACTTACATTGTTGGCTGTGCTCAGTGCTAGATTGTAACATTCACATGTAGCCGGGTTAAAAATGCTATACATTGTGATTAACTGATAAAAAAAACATATAAAGCATGTGATCTAGTTAAAAACAAATTCATTGTTGTTAAAAATGTGGTTTACAAGCTATTTCATAAAAGATTAAAAAGCTACAATGTAATAAATACGTTAATAATATGTGCAGTTATAAACGTTTTATTTTGAAGAGTTCTGTCTAGTAAAGAGGAAGTGGTATGTAAGAATAAGGGTAATACTGGTCATTCATTGGTCTATGTGGGGAGTTCAGAGGCGCACAGGAGGAGAGAGTGAGAATGTAGGAAAATCAGTGGGAGCTTGACTATGAACGAACGTGTGTGAAGTTCATGCAAAGTAGTATGTAGTAAGTTGGTGTTTTAGACTGTCCACTCGACAGTCTTACCACAGAATACCATCCTGCGTACTTTTGTGAGAAGTTCCCGAAATATATCGTACAGTTATTCACGCGTGTATCATAGCTCGTTTGCAGACAGTGTTTTGTGTTAGCATTCATTAGCAAAGTGAATGGACTCTTAGCCAGTATAGCTAACTCAGCTGTATACTGTTGGACTAGTTCACGGGTTTCGACGTGAAAACCCTGGAGAGTTATCGGAAAGTTACAACTGCGAAGTCAAAGCTCCGAGTTCGTTAGAAAGAGGGACACCGACCACGCCAGTTTGGACGCACGCTCGCACCCCTATTGACACCAGAGACCGAGAGACGACAGCGGCAGAGCGCGGGACAGACCACGCTTTCTTTGGACACCTGCTTGCCCTTGTTTTGCTGGAGACCGGGAAAGACTGTTGAACTCTGCACAGTGGACTGAACTGTTGCTTAAGGTAAAACTCTTTAATTCTGTTGCTCCTTTGAGTGAAGTGGACCAATAGTTTAAGTATCGTCGCTCTCAAGCATCGCAACGAAGTTTGGGGTTTTATTTTATTTTATTATGCCGGCTTGTGTGTGTGTGCCTGCTTGGTGAGTGTGGGCCCACTGAGTTAACATTATAGTTGAATTTGAACTGAAGGTAACTGAAAAGTTGTTATAGTGTGTTTACACCAGTAAATGGGGATTTATTATTTCTAAACTGACCCTGGTGTGTTGCATTGTTATTACTTTTACCAAAGGTATATTCAACACATAAGGTAAATGTCTGTGTTTATTGACAAGGTGATTTATTGCAGCATGCTAGTTACTCTAATGTAGGTTTAGTGTGACTTTACAGAGCTAATAGACGTTAGATGAACCTAGCTTAGTGACAGTGGTGTTGCAAATCATTTGAGATAAATACAGAAACCCAAGACAATTAAAGTGTATAGAGCCCAAAGATAAAAAGGAACCTTATTTCAAGTATTCAGTCAGTTTGATTTAAGAACTCGGGGCCCCACCCTGCTTAAGATAGGGAAAGGTGGGCTACATACATCTCAGTATTCAGAAGTGAAACTCTGAAGCTATTACGTCAATTGTAATGATAATCTATTGAAATTATACATTGCAGAGTGATGGTATATGGCAGAAAAAAAGATAAATACATAATGGGTTGGTATAGTAAGGTTTTATTTTTTGCCAGATCTAGGCCAGGTCTTTATATTATGTGACTCTGTATTGTGCCACTGCAAGGCAAGGCAAGTTTATTTGTATAGCACATTTCAACAACAAGGTAATTCAAAGTGCTTTACATAAAACATAAAAGCAACAGGGAAATATAAAAAAGTTTAAACGCAACATAGGGAAATTGAAAAAATACACATTAAAATAACAAAAGTTAAATGGAAAATAAAAACAGGCTGAGCTGTTGAGCAAATAATTAAGTTACAATTATTTTGAAAAGAGAATAAACGGAGAAGTACACTTAATCTACTCTCTCTAGCTAGTCTGTACTCGGGTCCATAGCAATCTTTGGGCCCACTGAAACTCCAAAAACCCTCGGACACTACAGAGTAACCAGGACATGTCTGTCTGCAGGCCACTTTGATCCAGTTATACTCTGGACCCACCTGCGCGTTTACAGGTGGACAGAGGGTCCTGCAAATCACTCGGGCACGAGATTTAAGATCACTTCCTTCACTCTGTTCAATCTCACTCTCATTATCTTTTCACTCAATTACCTACTCATTTCTCACTGTGTAAATATTTAATTAAAAGCAATGGTAAAAAGCTGAAAAAGAAAACAGGACAGTAAAAGTTACAGTGCAGTGTAAGTTATCAATCTACTAATTAAAGGCAGTGGTTAAAAGAAAAATCTTAAATATTTAATTTAAAGCTGTGGTAAAAATCTTCAGTCTTAATTTAAAAGAACTGACAGTTTCAGCAGACCTGCAGTTATCTGGGAGTTTGTTCCAGATATACGGAGCATAATAACTGAACGCTGCTTCTCCTTGTTTAGTTTTGACTCTGGGGACAGAAAGCAAACCTGCCCCAGATGACCTGAGAGGTCTGGATGGTTCATAACGAAGCAGAAGATCAGAAATGTATTTTGGCCCTAAACCATTTAGTGCTTTATAAACTAACAGCAGCATTTTGAAATCAATTCTTTGACATACAGGAAGCCAATGTAAAGACCTCAGAAGTGGAGTGATGTGATCCACATTTTTGGTCTTAGTGACGACTCGAGCTGCAGCGTTCTGAATCAGCTGCAGCTGTCTGATGGATTTCTTAGGGAGCCCTGTAAGGACACTGTTACAGTAGTCGAGTCGACTGAAGATAAATGCATGGATAAGTTTTTCCAGGTCTTTCTGAGACATAAGTCCTTAATCCTTGATATATTCTTCAGGTGATAGTAGGCTGACTTTGTAATTGTCTTAATGTGGCTCCTCAAATTCAGGTCTGAGTCCATGACTACACCAAGATTTCTGGCTTGATTTGTGGTTCTTAACATTAGAGATTGAAGTCGAGCACTGACTTTCAATCGTTCCTCCCTGGCTCCAAAAACAATAACTTCAGTTTTATCTTTGTTTAATTGGAGAAAATTCTGGCACATCCAATCGTTAACCTGCTCAATACAGTTACTCAGCACCCGTATGGGATCATAGTCCCCTGGTGAAATGGTTATGTAAATCTGTGTGTCATCTGCATAATTATGGTAACGTATTTTGTTGTTTTTCATAGTCTGAGCCAGTGGAAGCATGTAAATGTTAAACAAAAGAGGCCCCAGAATGGAGCCACATGTCATTTTTGTCAGCTCAGATGTGTAATTACCTATAGACACAAAGTAGTCCCTGTCCATTAAGTAGGATTCAAACCAGTTTAGTACCGTGCCAGAAAGTCCAACCAAGTTTTCAAGTCTGTCTAGTAATATGATGTGGTTGACCGTGTCGAATGCAGCACTGAGATCCAATAATGCTAAGACTGAAATTCTGCCACTGTCAGTGTTTAAAAGGATGTCATTGAAGACCTTAACAAGAGCCGTCTCAGTGCTGTGGTGTGGTCGAAAACCTGACTGGAAGACATCAAAACAGTTATTTAGTGCCAAGAAAGCACTAAGCTGTTGAAAGACAGCTTTTTCAATGATTTTACTTAAAAATGGGAGATTTGATACGGGCCTATAACTGCTCATTAGTGAACTGTCCAGATTGCTCTTTTTTAAGAGTGGCTTAATGACTGCAGTTTTCAGGGCCTGTAGGAAAAAACCTGAGAGGAGAGACATGTTGACAATTTGTAGTAGATCTGAGGCCATGCATAGACACATTTTTGAAAAAACCTGTTGGCAGAATATCAAGGCAGCATGAGGAGGATTTCAGATGTTGTATTATGTCCTCCAGGTTTTTATGGTTAATAGAGTCAAATTGTCTCATGCTATATGAATTGTTTTTAAGTGGACATAGGGACAAGACATATCTTTTTACTGACATGGAGGCACTGATTGCTTGTCTAATTGCAGGCCCTGGTGGATAGAAGTTCAGAGGCTACAGACACAGGAGGGTTGGTTAGCCTGTCGACAGCAGAAAACAGGGCACGTGCATTATTAGTGTTTTTGGTGATGTCGTCAGAGAAGAAGGACCGCCTTGCATTTCTCAGTTCTAAATTATAAATGCGAAGTCTCTCTTTATAGATGTCATAATGAACCTGGAGATTTGTTTTCTGCCACCTGCATTCAGCCTTTCGACACTCTCTTTTTTGAGTTCTTCAGCGTGGCATTTCTCCATGGAGATCTTCTCTTGCCAGAGACCACCTTCACCTTGGCTGGTGCAATGGCATCAATAAAATTTGTGATTTTAGAACTGAAATTATCTACAAGCTCATTGACTGAGACCTGTGAGAGGGCGGGTGTCGAGGAGAAAGCCTCAACAAATTTTTCACTAGTGTTTTCAGTGATATGCCGTTTTGTGATTACCTCTGTTTGTACATTTGTGTGCATGCAGATAGCACTCTCAAAGAAAAAACAGGAATGATCAAAGAGAGCAACATCAGTCACCACTACCTTGGAAATGTTCAGACGCTTGGAGATGACTAAGTCCAAAGTTTGCCCCTTATTGTGTGTGGGCTCCGTCACATGTTGGGTCAGTCCATAATTATCAAGAACACAACACAGTTCTTGAGTCCCTCTGTCCTGGGGGTTGTCAACATAGATGTTAAAATCACCAACAATAACCACACAGTCAAAGTCAATACAGATTATAGACAGCAGTTCACCAAAGTCATCAAAAAAGTTTGCACAGTATTTAGGGGGCCTGTAGATATTTAGAAAAATAGCTCAAGAAGAGGAATTCAGCTGAAGAGCCACATATTCAAAAGAAGCAAAATTCCCATAAGACATCTTTTTGCATTGGAGGGAGTCATTAAACAAAATGGCAACTCCACCTCCTCTCCTATGCACTCTAGCTTCACTCATGAAAGGGGTAGGGAGGGGTAGACTCGATAAGGACAGCTGCACCGTTATCTTGGTCCAACCAAGTTTCAGTTAAAAACATGAAATTAAGATTGTGAATGATTATAAAATCATTTATTAAAAATATTTTTCCTGCCAAAGACCTAACGTTTAACAAAGCTAATTTTAGTGTGTTAAAAACATTATTTGGCCCACTTTTTTCAACAGGCTGCGGCTGACGAGGAATTAATACTAAATTTGCAGTATATGTTGAGTGCTTCCTGTTTTTCAACACATTCACCATGCTTTTTCTGTTACCTATCAAGACAAGAGTCATAAGTGCTATTTTCCTTGTAGCCTGGACCCAGCACATATCAGTCAGAGCTTACTGGGCTTTTTCGCCATTGCAGAGGAGGACTTAGAACCAGTGGTGGAGGTGAACGGTGAGGGGAGTTTAGGGTGGAGAAAATGGGAGTGGAACGAGGGAAGGTGTAAATTTGGTCCCAGCTCTAACCAGGTCTTCCATGTGATCAGTGAAGTCCAACAGGGGGGAGAGGGGAGAAATGGTGTCTGGAGATAAGGGTGACCTAGATGGGAATTGGGGGGGGGTAGAGATGGTGAATCCTCACTGTTGGTTTTCAGTGAGGGAGGTGGAGGCTCTTCCTCTTGGCTCAGATGTCTCCCGTGATCAGAGCTCTCCTCCGGCGGGGGCCGAAGTGGCTCTCCTTCAAGGTTTCTGGCGTGTTGTGTTATGTCTTCTTCTTGTTTAGATTCCTCTTGTTCTTGGCAGAGGGAACAGATGAGTGATGCAGAAAGTAAAACAGGTTGGAGCTGAACAATTTTACTCCTGACTTGTTAAGGCGAAGTCCATCTGCCTTAAAAAGATGTCTGCGTTTCCACAGAAAGTGAACGTTTTCGATGAAATGCACTGAATGGACAGTACATGCCGTTGAGAGCCACATGTTCAATGCCATCAATCTGCTGAATCTCTCAGCTCCTCTTCGGATTGGCGGTATAGGGCCACTGATAAAAACC